CGAAGTTCGAGATTGAGATGTAATAATGTGACACCCCTACTGTCCTGTCAAAATGACGTATAAAATCGCCGCCATCCTTGCAGGTGGTCTGGTGTATTCATTCGGTGAGCTGCTGTGGAGAGATCTGAGCGTCCCGGTGTCGGCTCCGGTGCTGGAGGTCTCTCTCCTGGGGAGGATGGTGGTCCGTGTGGCCGCCGGCGGCTTCCACTGCGGAGCGCTGAGTGAGCAGGGTAACGTCTACATGTGGGGCGAGAACACCGCAGGACAGTGTGGGCTGAGTGAGAGGGGTACAACCGCAAACATCACAGGTTGGTCAACACCACACCTCCCCTTTTTTCCGTCCATGCTTTCTTCTTTTCTTCCCACATTCCCCCGTCTGTCTGTCCAACCCACTGCGCTCACTCGTTACTTTAAGGTCAGACTGCAACAGCCAGCGTAGACCAAGTTACACCATTGGTTGGATTATATATAGTTTATAAGGCAGGCGTTGATATTTCATCTTCTGGAGGGAAAAAACAGGGAATTTAAACTAAAAAGGAGAACAGCAGCAGAGAATCAGATAATAGAATATATGGTTTATATCATTTATAATAGATTATCAGTGTGTTTTCTTACCAGATTTGCTTACAACACGTAAAACACAGAGAACAGACACTGAAATACTGGAGATTAAGAGTTGGCAGTGGAGCTTCGTGGCGCTTCCACCTCAAAAAAACACGCAGTTAAAGCACCCCAAACAAAACACTCAGTACAGAGTCGGTGAAAAACAACAGACCTCCCGCAGATAGAAATGAATGAAAGAGCAGAAGGAGTTAACAGATAATCAGAATAGTTTTAAACACAGAGCAAACAGCTCAAGATACGAGTGGAAAGAATTGTTCTTTCAGCTGCATTTCTGACATTTTTTGACTCCAATGTAGCTGAACTGTGTCATGTGATTCCTCAGTACACCATGAGAACAAATACTACTGGGGCTATTACAGAGCATAGACAGCTGATCATACACGGCCCAGCCAGATAGTTAAGAAATATAACAATATAAAAACACAGTCTATGTAAAATATCCTGTGTCAGTTTCAGAGCCGTGCCCGGTCTCTGTGGTGGACAACGATGTCGTTCCTCCAGCAGTGGTTAGGGTTGTGGATCTGGCCTTGGGACGCGAGCACAGTCTGGCTCTGTCGGCCCAGAACGAGCTGTGGGCGTGGGGCAGCGGCTGCCAGCTTGGTCTGGTCACCAGCACTTTCCCCGTATGGAGACCGCAGAAGGTGAGAGTGTATCTGTCAGCTGGTGAGTGGTGAGAACTGTACACTTTAATTCAATATTCACATTTGTAATATTTCCATCTCTGGCACAGGTGGAGCACTTGGCAGGCAGACACGTCATTCAGGTAGTTTCTCCTCCTGACATCTTCAGTGCCACATTTATTTATACGTTTATACAAAAAAATAATATATTCTCTGTTTATTCCTCACAGGTGGCGTGTGGCGCCTACCACAGCCTGGCCCTGGTTCGCAGTCTGCCTCCACAGAACTACAATACCCAGACTCCTTCTGAGAAGAGGGAGCGAGGCCACTCGGTGACAGAGAGGGAGGAGCTATTTGCAGTCGATGGCGGTCACTACTGTCCACTCGGAGTGGAGCTGACTGAAGCCATGACAGGCGAGGTAGATATACTCCTGGATGGTGTTTCTGGTGGACTTATAAACCAGTACTTGCTGTGATCTGGTACCAAAGGGTCTTTAATTTACAGCTTTATATCACACTGATGCTTTCTGCAAGTGCCTGTGCTCGTTAAAGAGGTTTGATGCGTCTGCATTCCCAGACCTCTCCCAGAAGAAGAGGCGCCAGACGAAGCCTCCAACCTGGGGGAAGGTCAGCTGGCAGCAGCCCTGGCTCTGCAGCCGGTTCATGTCCGTTTTCTGAAGACGGGAAAGCGAACACTAAACAGTACAGTATTATATAACTTATGCTTCTCTCTTTTTTATCCTTTTCATTTAATGTTTTTCTACATGAGTTTTCCTCTACTTTACCTCCCATTTCCAGGAAGAACCTTCCAGTTGGCACCGACAGCGATCCCCTGACTCAGACAGACGGCAGCCCCACGTCCCGCCCACTGTCGGGCTGGAGATCCAAGAAGAACTCTGCATTCCCCGATGAAACGGAGCTTCAGAACCTCCTCCAGAAACTCTCCAGTCATTCATTGGAGATGCGCCACACCTCCGGGCCTGGAGATACCGACTCACTGAGCAGTTACACTTCAGGTCGGTGATTCAGTCCTGCTCCTTCTTGCTTTTAAGATTTCCTAATAAGTCCTTTTATGTATTACCTCATTCAGCTCTTTTGTTTTCCTTTCTTTCTTTCTCTAAAGTTGTTCATTCTTTTTTTACTAGTTGCTTTATTTGTTCATTGCCTCATTCATTTAGTCTCATTTATTTTAGTTCAGTTTGTTCCATTGTTCCTTCGTGTTGATGAATGCCTTTACTGGTCTCCATCAGGCGGTGTAACAATCGTTGCCTGATGATGAAAAACTATTTGGGCTCTTGGCGTCGTGAAGCTGCCCGCGCTGCACACAGCTGATACTAATCACAATGACGCCATCAAAGGGTGTCAATTTATCAATGACACAGCGCTGCGGTTGGCCACATGGGGCACATTACCAACCACACAGCTTATACTAAAGAATTTAACTTAATATTTGACACAGTTTGTGTCATTGTTTGTTTGTTACTTCGTTCTTTATAGATTTCGTATTAAATTTTCTTTCTCCTTCGATCTCTAATGTTGCTCTTCCTTCTCTGCAGATGAGAGCTGTGTTTCCTCGACTCCTTCCACGGATCTGTTGACTTCCAGTTACAAAGAAGAGTCGCTAATTAAGAGTCAAAACAACAAGTAAGACAGAGTTCAGTTGACAACGAACAATTACGATTAAACAGTGTTTCAATAATCTCACGTTGAGAATTGTTTTATTGCTCTTCACGAATGTTTCTACTTCACCTCTATATGTTATCACTGTGGGAGTTACCAGTATTAAAGGGTATTTTCTAATAATGCAGATACAAACTCCATTATTCAGCTGTATCTACATACCAAGATGGTTCTCACCGACAGTGTGTTTACCCTCTGATTTCTCACAGTAACAGTGGAGTGGCCCTGCCGTACTCCTCCTCTCCAGTGTGTTTGGAAGACGTTCGGCTTTGTCTTGAAGCGGAGAACAAGGCGCTGCAGGGGCAGAAGAGCTCCAGTCTGACGAATATAAACCAGAAGGGGATTGTAGCAGCAAACAGGAGACTCTCCCTGCCTGGAACACCCACCCGTGGTAGGAATGGTAGGGTGTGAACAACTTTAAATACACTTTTGGGAAACACACTTATTTGCTTTCTTGCCAAGAGTTAGATGAGAAGATTGATACCCTGAGGTAAGAGTGTGTAACCAGGAGACTATTAACTTAGCCTAGAGTGAAAGAAACTGCTCACCAACAGATATTTAAAGCATGTAACACCCCGTAAAGCTACAATTTATAGTTTTTACATTTCTTTTTCAGTTGGAAATGAAAGTGTTTTTGAACTTTTCAGTCTTTGTGCTAAGCTAAGCTAACTGTACAGATCTAACTGTTTGCAATAAAACAAATAAGCACATTTCCCAAAATGTCTAACTCTTCCTTTGAGCTTTGAGGTGAAGCTGCGACCAACAACAACAATAACAGATGCTGCTTTTGTCAATAATTCTTCTCTTCCTCATGGTGGTTGTACCAAAATGTGCCACCACAGACTGAACAAACGCATTCTTCATACATTGTCTGATACCATTGAAGCGAACATTATCTGCAGAGTCACTGAAATGCGTTCCCCTGTGAAGTTGCTGCCCGGGCTCACGAGGAATAAAAGAATATAAATGTTATCTCCAACAGAAGCACACAATGCAATATCTGCCTGTGTTTGCCTTTTCACTTTGACACACTGAACAACAATGGGTTCTCCTGGATGTGACGTTATCCGCTCGAATCCACTGTTATGTAAGTCAGGATCGCAGCGTGCACATGCTCATATGATAACATTTGTGTTGTTATCTTGAGATAACGGTATTTGTTTTCTTGAGATAACGTGATAATTAACTGGTTATCAGGAGAAAATGAAACCAGAAAGTCCTTCAGTCATATTATAAGTATTGTGACCCTTCTCATAGCTCAACTAAACATTTAAAGTCTCTTTACACTTTATAATGTCCACAGGAGAATGTATGAAGTTTATCGATACAGCCACAAAAGACGAGGAGAAAGTCTGTGACCTTTAAGGAAGACTGATGATTAGCTGATGCAGCAAACTAACTTCTCATTTTCTGGTTTTCCCAGAGTTTCAGGATCCAGCACATAGACTTTTTCAGTTTCAGTCGTCACCCAAATCTTTATGCGTTTATTAGATACTGAACTATATATAACCTTTGTTTAACTTTGTGGCTGAACAATCCACACAGCTCATCTTTGTTTTTACATTAAGCTTGAGTGTTATTATTATTGGAGGTCTTGCTGCTTCCCTCTGTAGTTGTATCTGTGATTTCCTGCCTGCTTATCTCACCTTGACAGATTCACACTGCTGGCTATTTTGGTTGATACGGGATTTTACAAATTCCAGAGCAGCTCGCAGTCGTTAGGGCGTGTTCATACCAAACCTGTTCGGCGCAGTTTATATGCGTCTGTCCACGTGACCTCTGGTGCAGTTTGATTGTGGAGAGAACTCGACACAGATCAGCTAAAGGCTCTTGTTATACTTGTATATGTTTATATATGTGAAACTGTGTATAAACCTCATTATGTTGCAGTATAAAACACATTGTGTGCTTCCTCTGTCACTGTGTGGTGGCTGTTGTTATGTCGTATAAAGTCGATGCTCAGACGTAACTGGTAGGTGATGGTTCAGTTGGTTGAAGCAACACTGTTACCAGGACTTTTCCATTCGTTCACGTGTTTTTTCTTTCAGGGTCTCCACGGCGACGGCGGCCTTGTGCGTGCAGGCCATCTTCTGCTGGTTGGACCCCGGCTGCAGCACCGGAGGAGGCTGGAGACGGGCTGCCGTGTCTGGAGACAGAGGTGTGGAGCTGGGGCCGTGGGTCTGAGGGGCAACTGGGCCACGGAGATCAGCTCGCCAGGTCTGGACACACAAACACACACACACACACATTTTCTGATTCTGATTATTATTACAATTACCCCCCAAAAAATGATGAGTTGCAACATTACTTTTGTTGGCACCCCCTACTAATTTGAAATCCAACAATCGAATCACATCCTTGGACTGATTTTGGACTCAATCCTGGAGGAAAATAGGTTGAAATCAGCATCTTCTCAATTTTGTGGAGTAGCAGAAAAGTAATATAACTAGTTTAGTGTAACTAATTACTGTTTGCAGGGAGTA